CGCCTTCCACGACGTTCTCATGACTGGAGAAGATTTAGAAGTGCGATCAAATGCTTTGGAATACTTCTTCGAGACCCTGCTCAAGTATGGTGGCACTTTCCCATCGGAGTTCTGGGATATCCTGTGGCGTCAACAACTCTATCCTATCTTCATGGTGTTGAGGTCTCGGCCAGAGATGTCTAATGTCCTCAACCACGAGGAATTGTCAGTATGGCTATCGACCACTATGATCCAAGCCCTGCGGAACATGATCACTCTCTTCACACATTACTTCGATGCCCTGGAATACATGTTGGACAGATTTCTGGAGCTTCTGGCGCTTTGTATCTGTCAGGAGAATGACACAATTTCGCGAATCGGAAGCAATTGCCTTCAACAGCTAATCCTCAAGAATGTGACCAAGTTCAAGCCCGAACATTGGAATAAGCTTGTTGGTGCTTTCGTCGAGCTCTTTGAGCGAACTACCGCGTACCAACTCTTCACTGCCACTGCAATCAACAACACGGCTTCCATATCACCACCACCAAATGGCCTCGAGTTCTCGTCGGCTGCCTCGGGAACCACGCCTATGGATGAGACATCTCTCAAAATTAACGGCAAAGAGGAATTGGAAGATGACCACAGTGTTCCACCCCCGTCAGCTGAAGATGAGCTCCAGACACCAACGGCTGACGCCCCTCACATCGCCCTTGAAGAGTTTAAGCCATCTTCCAATCTTCAGCAACAGCCTGTAGTTGTTACAGCAGCCCGAAGACGATTTTTCAACCGAATCATCTCTCGTTGTGTCTTGCAGCTCTTGATGATCGAGACGGTCAATGAGTTGTTCAGCAACGACACTGTCTACGCACATATTCCCTCGGCAGAGCTTCTTCGCCTCATGACTTTACTTAAGCGGTCTTTCCAGTTTGCCCGCCGCTTTAACGAGGACAAGGAATTGCGCATGAGACTCTGGCGTGAGGGTTTCATGAAACAGCCTCCCAATCTTCTGAAGCAGGAGAGTGGCTCGGCAGCCACTTACATCTCTATTCTTTTCCGTATGTTTGCGGATAATGCGCCTGAGCGACTGGAGAGCCGGCCTGCCGTGGAGGATGCGTTAGTGCCCCTTTGCAAGGATATTGTTCACGGCTACACTACTCTTGAAGAGGAGAGCCAGCATCGCAACATCGTCGCATGGCGGCCCGTTGTCGTCGATGTTCTAGAAGGCTTTGTCACATTCCCTGAGGATGCTTTCAAGAAACACATCCCCGATTTCTATCCTCTTGCGGTTGAACTTCTCACCAAGGACCTCAGCGCAGATTTGCGATCATCACTCCTCCTGGTCCTGCGACGAGTTGGAGAGGTTGGCCTGGGTATCGAGGGCATGACACAAGCGGGACAACGGCGAGACAGCGAAGCCAGCAGAGCTACAGCAGAACCGGTTGGCGACCGAGAGGCGGACGCAAGGAGAATGCTTTAGGATGGGCGCCCCCCACGGTTGTTGACGGTGAGGAGAAGCAGGGCGTTGGATGGATTATTAGAGAATGTTGGTTTTCATGACGTTGTTCTAGATACCCCAGGCTATCCCATACGGCGGTAGGCCGGCCTGGGAATTCGTATTATGAATTGTATCGGGATGTGACAATATACATGTATGTATTCAAACCCATCCCATCGGTGCTGGCCATTATTTGATCGTGGGCATCAAGAGCTTAGAATGACCCGACAAATTCATACTGAGTTCAGTCAAGTATTTCGTCATATGCTGTACAGAATCTCACATACAAGATGAGGGGATAAAAGTTTGATATCTTTTTTTATTGATGTGCTGATCTACCTTACAGTACTTAGGTAGAACAACTGGCCTCTCCTTACTTCTATATTCTTTCTTTCTTGTTCCTAAGCTCCGTCGAGATCATACTGCGCTAGTCGAGGATTCGACTGATGTACCTAGCCAATGGTTCTGCCTCCTCCTGTATGGTTCGATCTGGAAGCGTCTTCAGCGCCTGCTTTAGTTCCTGATCTTGTGAACTCGCCGCTTTGACAACATTTCGCACAATAGCATCCTTATCCGCCGAGTCTCCTGCAATTCTCATGATGCTCACGAATGATTCGTAAAAAACGATGAGAGTCTGATGCATGAGCACATCGCTTGTGTCCACCATGCTTAGCGCTGCCCATTGGAGTAGTCCATGTCCGATGGACTCATCGGCGTACTCGGGAAGAGGAAACAAGTCTGGGAATGGGGATATGGCCATGGCACGGGGATGAAGCGCAGTAAGTCGGGGAATAAGTCGAAGAAGACGATCTTGAGCAAAGGTTGCTTGACGGTTGATGATCGCAGGTCGGCATAGTGAGACGATGAGTTCGAGGTAATGGCGATCCCAGATGACCAGACGCCAGAGACTGGCGTGACCAGGGACCCGGCGCTTGATGAGCTGTGTTTCTGCTTGGCCGGTACCATTCACGCCGTTGGACATGGTTGTGTCAGGAATGAAGTCGCAATCTGTCTCTAGCAAACTGCCTAGCACTCTGGTAGATCGACCGCCGACATCTGCATCCGGGGAGTTCAGCCATATCCGAAGGAGCTCCTCAACGACCTCAGGCAAAGAGGCCAGGGAATCAACCTCTGTAGGACTGGAGGCAGCCTTGTGAATGATGTTGAGAGCGAGTAAATTTGCGCCAGGAAGCGGTGATTGGAGAGCAGAAACAAGAGATTCAGCACCGCCGAGTGATAGACACTGTGTGAAGGAGAAGGGAGAAAGAAGCTTGGTGGTCAAAGAAAAGACGACGCTGAGGCTTGCAGGATCTTGAGTGGTGGTCTTTAGGAGAGACATGAGCGGAGGGAGTAGAGTTGGCTGAATGATAGGAATGTTTGAAGCTGTAGGCAGTCAGCGTCTAGAGCATCTGGGTTGTGGGTGGAGTTTTACGTGTAAGTTGAAGCTCAACATGGTCAAAGAGCTTGTTGTTCAGTGGTGCATCTTCATTTCCTGGCTCATGAAGTTCAGTGAGATGGGCCAGTAACTCTGCCAGGCCGGTGACAGGAGCGCTGTCGCTGGTTTGGGGCACGACTCGCTCACTCATGGTTTCTTTACACGATGTTGATGAATACGCAGCGAGGTTGGCAAGTGTTTGGCTGTGGTTGTAGTTGAGTGTCCGTCCGTGTTAGTAGGTGATTGCAGTGGATGTAAGCTGCAAGTTCACGGAGGGGTACGTAGTCTAGGTAGGGAGCCTGAAGGGAACACCACGTAACATATCGACCGTTGAGAGATGCATCTAGAATTTCTGTGGCTACAAAGTTACCTAGTTACAAACACTGAAATCTAGCGCAAGCACATTAATGTTATCATCCTCTAATATTTGATGTCTCTGTAGAATAAAATGCAGTCAACTAGTTACAACATGGAACCTACGCCTGCTCAGCGGGGCATCGTCATGGCGGAGAAATTCCGCCCTCTCTTTTTTCTGTCCGGCGCATTCCTATAGAACTTAACTTACACCCCGCAAAAAATCATTCTGCGTCAAACCTCAATCGCGAATAGTAACAGCTACAATCACAGTCAGCCTAACTCGACCCGCCATATAAATATCCCCTCGGCCTTCGAATTGACTCCTAACTCGACGCGCGCACTCTAATGTCTCGAGGTGGTCGAGGAGGCGGCCGTGGTGGACGCGGCGGCGGTAGAGGTGGAAGGCCCAATGTGCCCTGGGACACAGGCGATGAACCTGATGCGCGACCATCTGAGCTATTTCCCGTATGTTCTTGTATTCTGTGCTCTATGGCCTTGTCGAAGCGCAGGAATTGTGTTGTGACTCAGTGTGACACACGTTGCTGACTTGCAAACAGCCATACCTCGTTCCTACTCCCCGAGAACTAGCCTCGCACGAAAAAGCAGCTGTACAACACTATCTTCTACTACGGCATCAAGTCCACGCCTCTCCTCTATACACGTCCAAACGCACAGCTCTCAATGACCCAACAGCACCCCGCAAACACTACGGCCAGGCACAAAAGAATGCCCGCTTCGGCATCAAGAGCAAGGCCTCTTTAGACCCCTTTACCGCCGTGCCTACCTACTCCCATAAGTTCGTTCGCGAGGAACGTGCTCTTCCAGATTGGTCCAACCGTCCAGTATGTCGCGAGCTCTTCCCTATGGAACTCTACGAAACCATCGACGCTGCATCCGCCAACGACGGTGGTCTTCCAGGCGGTTTCAAGCGCCGGAAGTTGGAGCTCAGCAGCGTTAGCGCACTTCCTAGTGCAGAGGAAGCTTTTGGTATGGGAGGGGATGGCGAAGACGAGATGCAGGGCCATAATTTACTTGAACGGTTACAGGCGCTCAAGGAGGAGGAAGGCGACGAAGCTGGCGATCTTGAAGACGAAGAAGGCATGGAAGAGGAAGAGCAGGATGAAGTTTACGACGACGAGGATGCGGGCGATTATGACGCCGAGAACTACTTTGACGGTGGAGACGAATTTGACGACTATGGCGATGATGGCGGCGATGGAGAAGGGACCTATTAGTTGGTCGCTAAATGCTTTCACAAGGATAACAAAAAAGAGTATTTTGGAGAGGGCGCAGCGATCATTTGTATACGTATATATATATATATCACGGCACAGCATTGGTTTGATACCCAAGTCCGCGATCTTCGTGGTCGTGGCAGATAATGAACTTGACATATTTGGATCAACCTTGCGATGTTGGTCTTGTATCCTTGTGAAGCTCAAAGCCTTGAAATGCCTAAGAGAACATGGGTATCTCCAGATATTCCCCTAACTTTACCCCCTCGGCTCTCAATAACATCAGCAGCTTTTCTTTTGTCGAGTAATATTCATACATGTCGTAAGGTTGTATCCTCACTAAATTTCCTGCTACAGTTGACAATCCCGTATCCTACGCTTCGCCCAAATAATGCTTCTATGGCCCTTTGTCTTCAAACATGGAACGGACTCTTGCAATGTCCAACAGACTGGTATTACCGCAGCGCATCCCTCTCCTTATCATTCATGCCGCCGTCTTCTACGCATTCATGCCCATAGCGTAAACTCCACTGTCCACAATTCCAGCCTGGAGGCGCGATAGCCGTTCTCGAGTATCGGCAATCTGTCCAGCCTGTGCAACAATGGCGCTTCCCGTATCCCTGAGCGCCAATAAAACCTCGTTCAGTTGATCCTGGACGACTACGCTGCCAGCACTACGGTCTCGTAGAGCTCGGATCTGCTCGTAAAGGCCGTTCTCGACACCAGGCATATCTCGCTCAATATCGCCGCGATATTCATCGAGACGAGCCTTGTACTTTTCAATATCATCACATATACGGTTGAAGTAGGTGATCAGATCTTGGGCATCCGCATGTGTCGACGCAGCATCTGCGCCCCCGGAATCAGCAGCTGGAGCCTGGCTGGCGAAAAGACCTGTTTGGTGATAGTGTGTCGGGAGTTTGAGGTTATCGGCGCCTCGGAAGCATAGTCGGGCATCAGCGGCGTTCTTTCGGGTTTGATCCTGGAGAGCTTTGACGGTCTGGATATCGTTGTTGAGGGCAACTTGAACAGTTCGGAACTTTGACTCGACAAACTTGACGTCTAGACCCAGTTGCTCAATATCCTTCTCGTGCTGGGGCATGAACTCGCCAATCTCGTCTCGCATCTTGATAACTCGTTGGATACCCAAGTCCAGCAACGCAATTTCATCTTGTACGGGCTTAGCAAGGTCATCGAAGCGGGTACGGGGGCGAATGCTGTCGTAGTTGATTTGAACGGCTGAGACTTGGTTTGTGGATTGGCCGAGGGTGTTGTTCTGCTGAGGCTGTGTTTGGCCACTGCTGAAAATTAGTGACTGTCATGACAAGGAGCTTCAAACAACTCACAACAGACTGGTACCGGTAGCGGGCTTCGCCTGAGATTGACCGAAAAGACCTCCTGTATTGCTTTGTGTATTTGTTGCTGTAGATTGGCCGAACAGACCTGTGCCAGTTTGTTGAGGCTGCTGAGTTTGATTTTGGGTAGATTGGCCGAAGAGGCTGGTGCCAGTCGTTGCAGGTTGCGCTGTGTTTCCTATATTTCCCCAGTGAGCTCCCGAGATTTGTGGCTTCTGACCAAACAGAGCAGCTCCAGTCTGCTACTGACCTTGTTGTTGGGTGTTGTTGGTGGCAGTGTTGCCAAAGAGCCCAGTGCCTGTGCCTGTGCCCTGCGTCTGTTGAGTGTTTGTTGCGCCGGTAGCGCCAAAGAGACCACCGCCAGCTGCGGGCGTAGTTGTTGTCGCTGTCGTCGACTGTCCAAATAGACCGCCTGTTGCAGGTTTTTGCGCAGCGTTGCCAAAGAGAGACATGGTGCCTGTTGCGCCTGGCGCTGTTGTTGTGTTGGCGGTGGGCGTAGAGGTGGTAGAAGAACCGAAGAGACTACCAGCAGCGGAGGGCTTAGAAGCGGCGGTTCCGCTGTAGAATGGAGTGCGCCGGTTAGTAAGAAGAGAAGAGAGATGGACGAGGTTGCAGACGAGATGAAGGTGACGAGCTGAGTTAGGTTGGGTAGGTAGGTAGTGCTGAGTAGGTTGGGTGGATATGATGGATGGTGAATTGATTGTTTTGTTAGAGTGTGGAGCTTACAAGGCGTTAGCAGCACCAGTGTTGATGCTTAAACCACCTGCTGGGCCGCTTGCTGAACGGATCAATGACATACTAAGGGCGAAAACAAAGCCCTTTGATGGAATGCGACAGTGGCTACAAAGTTAATTTCACGCGATCTGCCCGTGTTTTGACGCCGCGGCACGACAAAAAAGTCTCCAAGCTTGTTGGAGAAGATGGCGCTTGGTCCATTCTGGCCTTCGGTGAGACTCGGTGAGTATCCCCGGAGCTGCGGTGAGTCGAGTTCCGGAGAAATGCGGCGCCGACCAACCAATAGCTGCTTTATTGTGAGAGCTTGAGCTTGACGTCTTTGTACTTACATATCAATTCTCGATATCGACCAATTATAGCCGCAACTACTTGATTTTACACTTGCCAAACCCTTATTGCCAGAATCGCAAACATGGATATCGACGACGAGGATGATTTCTATGTGCCAGATGAGCCAAAGACCGAGACCACAGCTCCAGAGGATAAGAAGCCAAAAGCAGATGATTTAGAAGAAGGCGAAGAAGAGGATGAGGGTGCCGCTATGGATGAGGATGATGACTCTGACGAGGATGACTCGGTATGCGATCTGCGACACGTCTAATACACACCAACTGACATAATTTCTCAGGACATCGACATCATCACAGAGCGCAAAGATGGCACAAAACCAGAACCACCACAGTACGCTATACCTTCGGGCGCTAGGTTCTGAGGTTACTAACTAGTCCTTCCAACTTTAGACAGTCCAAGTACAGTGATATTCGAAACATTCCCCAAAGAACAGCTTCAAGCGATGTGCCAACACAACCTGCGCCAGCACGTAAGGACTCAGAATCACGACCATCAGTTAACGTTGCTGCGCCAAGCGCCGACAAGACTTCTGCTGCGGCATCTAAATCAACGATAGACGTGAACGTAAACCCGATTCACCCTGGAACTGGAAAGCCTATAACACAGGTCAACATTGACGAAGGTTAATAACTCTACCGATTGTTGTCGCGCAAATACTAACATGAGCAATTCAAGACCTACCAGATAGTGACAAGCCATGGCGAAAACCCGGTACCGATATCAGCGACTACTTCAACTACGGCTTCGATGAGTTTACATGGGCGCTTTACGCTTCCAAGCAAGAGACCGTCCGAGGAGAATTCGGAGCCGATGTCTTTGCCCAGAACAACAAGAAGATGATGGAAGACTTCAACATGATGATGATGGGCGGTATGGGTATGCCAGGAGCCGGCAACTCGGGTGCTCAACAAGGGGGAATGCCTGGTGGAATGGACGGTATGCCTCCTGAAATGCAGGCCATGATGCAGCAGATGATGGCATCAGGTATGGACCCGAGCCAAATGGATCCCAGTCAGATGAACGCCATGTTCTCTGGTATGCAGAATGCTGGAGGAGCGGGTGCACAAGGAGCACAGGGTGGCCAAGGGGGTAACTTTGGCGGTGGTTTCGGTGGCAATCAAGGTGGTTTTGGATATGATCAAAATATGTCTGGAGGCGGAGGAGGAGGAGGCCGGGGAGGATTTGGGGGTCGCGGACGTCGGGGGAGATGGTAATAGCCTCTCTCTGAAGTTGCCCCTTGTGAATTTCACAGACCAAAACCAATGGGCTTTGTCGATTTGTTAATGGGAGAACCTGGCGTTGGGGCATTTTGCCGATAGGCATGGGACCATGATAGATTGGCTCTCTTCACGAGCTACCGTACTCAGGAGAACGAGTTACCACTGAGTGTAGGCTTGAATACACGTCTTGAACTTGTCTCTGTACCTGCAGATTATACCCAAAAAAGAAACTAGTAGCTAAGCTTCACTTCAACGATCTTCGCTGGCTCTGTCTTTCCGTCCACATGCACTGCATTTGCTCCACAAGTCGAAACGTACAGAACTCCTTCATCCTCACCAAACACACATGCTGTTGAGCCTGCGACATCGAATGCCTTTGCTTCACCCGCCACCACCACAGCCTCTCCACCACTAGCGGGGATTCGTACGACGGTGTTTGATATATTGGTGCACACGTACAAGGCCCCATCGTGAGCTACAACGAAATCATCTGCGACAAGTCCCGGTGTAAGCGTTTCAAAGGAACCTGCAGCCTGGGCTTTTTGCGTAACGAGTACACGGTATACACAGAAACGGCTTGTCGTTGTGTAATAGACATAAGTTTGCTCTGAGAAGCGATCGACTTTGATACCATTAAGGCCAACTTGAAAAGGGGCATCGGCTGGAATTGTAAATGTGTCGTCTTCCAGGGTAACGTTGTATGATCCTGTGGCAACACTGAGCTTGTATACTTTGCCATAGAGGCAATCTGTGACGAGCGCAGTGTTTTCATCCCATGTAGCTATGCCGTTGATCATGCCAATCTCAGGCATATCGGCTATCTTGGTTACCTTTGCCTGTTCACCAGTGAGATCTGCGACCCAAATACTCCATGATCCAGGTTTGGGCTTGGCACCTCCGATCATGTCAAATGAGCCTGCAGCTACCGCAAAGACATCGGGCTTGAGACAACAGATGCCGGTGAGTGCTGGGTTCGGGATGTCATCTGGAAGAGGGACGCTGAGGATCTTGGAGCCACTTGATTTCTCAGGATCAATCTCCCAGACCTCGGGGACATCGAGGCGAGTTGCCAAGATAGTCCCGTTTGGTCTGAGAGTGATGTTCTCAAACCAGGTTGGCTGGGAGTCGAGCTGGAAAATAGTTCGAGTATTGGACATGTTCTCAGTGTTATGTTGTGAACAGCTTCTTGAGGTTCTGGCTCGTTCAGCCTGGTATATCTTTTAATACTGAATTGCTACATGTAACAATTGCCTTTGCTTATCCACCGGGTAAGCAGGTTGCCACATCTCTTATTACACAGTCCTCGGGATGCAAGAAGACTTCTGACGTTAAATTAGGTTGCCAAAATTACTTAGTCTAAGGTTCTCTAAATCTATACTCAATTATACTAAATCAAACTAAGCTTACCTAAGAATTTTTATCACCTAAGATAGAGGTCCTAAGTTTTATTGCACCCCCTTGACAGTCAGCCTGAGCGAGACCTACGCGTGAGATGCAGGATTGATCACCATAGATGGGCATCAATTAACCAATGATAAGATATTTCCTGCAGGATTCAAGATACCTGGCCAAGTAATGGTTCTGGCTATTTCAGATCGAGTGCTCTTTGTCTGCTACGAAAACGAATTCCTGTTCGATGACCATATAGACGTCATTCAGCTTGAAGACGATCTCGATAGGGCTCACAGCGAGCAATCGTCTTGCATCTCACCTAAGCGAGTCTCAGTCTCTGAGTGAATCTAAAGTTCTGCTCACACCAAGCTTCAAGTTCCTTTCCATCAAAGCGAGCTGAACCAGCCTCGTATACCACATCTCCATCGTTAAAGACACAGACATAAGACTCTCCATCAACCACATTCAATGCCAGCGCATTTATAGAGACCTCCTGATCCTGTTTCTGACGCAAAACCGGCTCCAGGTTGGCATATTGACCCCGGAGATCGAATCTGAAGCGATTGTCCCGATACTGCGCAACCCAAGCGTTACCTACACCAAGCCAAAGACTGTCAACCGCAGATCGAACGGCGTCAGATGTCACCTGTAAGCCTCGACGGACTATCTCATGAGGGAGCTCCCACTTCTCAGTTCCATCGTCTACACGAGTGTAGAAAGTCTTGTTAGGACCGAGATAGAGGAATGATGGGCGTTCAACATCATGTTCTGTGTAAAGATCTGCAATCTCCCCATAATCCTCAAGGTCAGAACTGTCTGTTTTCGGTGGTCAGTCAAGTCAACTGCAACAAAAAAGAACACCACTTGCTTTGTGCGGCAATATTCCCTTGATGATAACGACGACATTGGAAGAAGTGTGGATCGGGACCAAGGATGATGTATGCAGTCTTGTCGAGCCCCTTTCGATGATCAAAGTCAAGTTTTGGTTGACCTCCCATCCCTCTGTGAACTCGTCTTCCACGCATGTCAGCAGGCATACCTCATACTGTTACTCTGTTGACTCACCCGTAGCTTCTTGCTGGGCCACTAAAGAAGTAGCTCTCTCCTGCGAGGCTTACGGTGGCAGTTTCATGCGAGAAGTCTTCTCGCTGCGTTGGTCGACCGATGAAGGTACCGGGAACAGAATAGGGATCGGACATCTTGCAAGGTTGTTTCTCGGTGAATTGGTTGCAAGCCGGCTGGAACATCGTGGGGGAATAGCCAGTATCTATATACTTGACGTGATAGAGATGCTAGCAAATGTTTCTGCTATTGATTGCGGGCACCTACCGCTTTTCTTGTTTCATGAGGCTAGAGAATGGCTTTACTACAGTCACAATGGTACTACAAGCGGTCTGTCAGACTCAAACGAGTTGTGAAAGGACCGACTGTGTCTGAATAGGGGCATACAATGGGCGTCTTGATTTGGCGAGATACCTCAAGTTTGCCGAATGCAATTCCACACCATAACCTCATCAACATTGCAAACATTTCCGAAACTGGCCTGGTCGATCTTTGTGATGTAATTGTATCTGTTTTTTTCTTTAATTATTATTTCTGTAGCAAGGAAGAATCGGCTTCCAAGGGGTATCAAGGCAAACACGCTCCTATACGCTGGGTATTTGTAACACATGAGGTAGTTGTGCTCAAACCACCACCTGGCCATCCAACCTGTTTTCGTTATCATAACGAGACGTTTCAAAACATCTGCACTAGCTACAACCTCCGGATGATTCCATGCCTAGGTGTGTATACAGCCAGCAAACATGAAATTTTGGTCATATCCTCAAACATGTAGCTCAGGTAGGTATAAACTTCTGTGAATCCTTCTCTTGCTGGGCAAAGGATTGCGAAAAGGCCGCCAAACCAGCAACAATGCCAGCAGCCATGAAAAGAACCGAAATGACAGCCCAGATGGCACCCCAGCACTGCGATGAGCCGCCATATCGCTTTGCGAAAACACTCGCGTCGGACTCGTTGACTTTGCGCAGGATCAGATCGTCGCAAATATCCCACACGCTGTACAAGGAAGACATGACACCAATGAATAGGACGACGAATCGCAGCGCTTGGGCGTGTTCGATGAACCAGCAAGCGACGAGGAGTCCAACGGCGAGAAGAACAGTCGCAATGGTAAGCCAATCACGCTTCCCCCACCAGAGCGTTAGCAGGAAGCAAACGCCGAGAACGATACTGGCGATTTTGCTAGCCACGATGTTGAATCCGCAGAAGATGAGTAGCGCGCCGATGATGGAAGAACCGAGATAGCCAGCGGGCAGTGACAAGCCTTGACTGCCGCCGTAGAAATGTGTCACGCCACCTTCGTTCGGATCAAGAGTGATTGACTTGACATGGCCACCTGTGAGGAGAACAGTAAAGGCGTGGCCAAACTCGTGAAAGGCGATGACCAGCATCTGCGCGTGTCAGCAGTTAGTTGACTTGGTGATTGTTTGTTAGGTGTTGGGGTGCATACCTTGAAGGGCCAGAGGACCATGCGGACGTAGGGGACGTTCCATAGGATAGCAATAGCCACAACATAGACGCCGATGATGCCCAGTGTGACTTGCTGAGTGTGGGTTGGGTTCTGGAGGTCGCGTCTGGTTATGGTGTTGAAGGTGTTTTCAGCTGCATATCCCAAAGCCAGCGATGAAGGATCCGGGTGCGGAGCCATGGTGATATCTTTGACGGATTGAGACTCGCTATCGAATCGGTTTTACGGGTGAGAACCTAATTGCGTGCGACTGGTTGTAGAGATCTGTTGGGCAGTGGATGGTGTTTACTCGAATCGCAAAGTCAATAAACGAAAGAGATGACTTTGAAGCAAGGAAAAGCGAGTAAAATCAGGGTGTGATTGTTAAAAGACAGATTTTTATTAAGCCAAGTTCCCCTCCATCGACTGACATTCGGCAGCAAACGCCTCGTAAGCCGCCGCTTCACGACTTCTCTTGGCTTGAATTCAATTCAATTCAATTCAATTCCTTGCGTGGTGTTGACGCGGCATTTCGGGGCGGAGCTGAAACAGCGCCTCGCTCTAGAATGTGGCTGGAAATAACCGCCATTGGCTGGTATTAATAGGGGACGGGGTTGCTAGGCTAGGGGAGGAAAGAAAATATAAAACCTTAACCCTAAGTAATAAAAATATTTAGGTAGATTTAGCCTAAGTTTAGGGGATCTTTGCTAAGTTTATTTTGGCACCCTAGATTAAGGTCCGGTGTTTTCTTGCTCCCTGAGGCTAAGGTACTAGGTTGGGAACACCCTGGAATACCTACTAAAGTACCCCATTAAAACTTTGACGTGACTACGTCATCTGCCTCTGAGAGACACACGCACGACCTGGGCTTGGTTGAATAAAGACGGTCAAGGGCCCTCCCAAACAAAAGTCGGCAATTAATGTTTATTTATTCGGAGACAATGGACCCCTGTTCCTATTCTACAACTTATTCTAGGCTAGACCCGAGCCACGCTATTTTATGCTATAAGAAAAAGACCACTAAGCTTGGTGATATCTTCCTGAGCATCAGGTATATTCAATGATCTCACTGATAGGAGACCGCTCCTTTGACACGCGCTTCATGATACGTATAAGTACACAATACAGATAACTCTGAGTACCTTACAGTGTCCAGCTATCAAGCCCCATAGTATGGGTGTACAATGATGATGACCATCATGACAATAGCGGCAAGCATTGCCAGTCCCTAATTGTGAACTTGCCCATTTGGCTAGCATTCATCTTTCTCACCGAAAGAAAAGCAAAAACATTGACATGAAGCTTCCAACTTCTTCTACCGCCCCATCTATCACTGCCAGCAGTCCCAGTTCTGTGGGCCCAGATAACGAACCAACAACCAGGATTTGTGCAAAAAAACCACATTGTCATGATACCGCAAAGCAAGGACCTTCTGGCTGACCTCAATCGATAACTCAGCTAATAAGCGGCTCTACGGATACTAAACAGAAAATACTACCTACCTAACGTTAAAAGACCATGGCATCCGCACCACAGATCCCACCCATACCCATCTCCCCAAGCATCTTCCAGACCACACACAGCGCCTTGGCCTTGATGATGGCCTCCGATTTCGAGAAACAGAGCTACTGGCACAAGCGCTTCTCGTCCGAAAAAGCCTTCGAATGGCTTCTTCCCTCGGCCGATTTCATGCCGCTCGTCAAGCCCGTTCTCGACCGGCTTGACCCGACCACGGCCCGCATCCTCCACATCGGCTTCGGGACAAGCGACCTGCAGAATCATTTCCGATCGCGGGGCTTCCGCGATATTCTTAACATCGACTATGAACCACTCGCTATTGATCGGGGTCGCGATCTCGAAGAGCAAGCCTTTGGAGACATTCAAATGCGATATGATGTGCAAGACGCTACACAGCTAGATCTGTGCGAAAAGTTTGATCTTATCGTTGACAAAAGTACGGTTGATGCGATTTCATGTGGTGGTGAGATGGCGCTGCGGCGGATGGCTGCTGGTATCAAGCGTTGTCTTGCGGACGGTGGCGTTTGGATCTCGTTCAGTTATTCAGCCTACCGATTTGACCTGGATGACTTTGCGTTTGACGTTGAGGTCCTTGCCAAAGTCTTGACTCAAAAAACGTTGCCGAATGATCCAGATATATACCACTGGTGCTATCTTCTTCGGCCGAAGCCAGATACCACTCCGGGTTCCCCTATAAGTACGGACGACAACCCTGCGGGAGAAGGCTGAGACTACAATGCGCTTATCAAATCAAAAATGGCTATGCAATTCATTGCTGGGATGGAGTCCCATTGCTATAGAATAGTCAGCTTTGACCTGACGATGCGCCAGCTGGCTGGATAGTTCTCTTTTGTCCCTGATTGGACAACTCGCGGTTCTTGGATTTTCTTTCCTGTGAATAGATGTTATCAATAATGGGATTAATTAAAACTTGATACTATTTTATGAAATGCCTACAAACTATTTTACCAGAGGGTCGATCGAACTTGATCCTCGACTCAAGGGTAGCTATTCTCCACTGGTTTATATGGCCGAGCGACAGAATCCACGTTACCATGTTAATCAAAAGTACATCATATCTTCCGACTTGTAGTCTCTCTTGGTAAATCTGAAGAATGCAATAGGTACCTAGAAGTCATGCGTGAAATTCTCTCGGGTGTTCATGTGTGAGGTCTGGTGATGGGATATTGAGATATGGGAACCACTTGTAAGTTCAATTGTTTAGAGTAAGGCACTTGTACGTATCAAGAGCTGTATAAGGTCGCGAAGAAATATCGATTAAGTGAAATGGAGAGTTTTGTTCTACCTAGGGCTTTATTCTTCCTGAAATCGGAAAATCCTGCTACACCTAGGTAACTTCTGGGCAACTTAAAGAACCGCATGTGAGCTTCCAGATCAGACACGCTTACAAGGTGATCCGAATAAGGTGGCCGGAATAGTAATTCCACCAGATAGTCTGTCTCGAAGAGTTTCTACAAGACAAGATCCAATCACCACTAGGTTCTAGGATTTGTCCCAGATGGGGAAACCTTCTCAAACGTGCTCATCCTGTGCCAAGACCACAGGCATTCCCAGCTCAACGGTCTCAACCACTATAAACGAGCCTATCAGGCCATTGATGACAGACACTTACACTTAAGAGAGCATGGATTTGTTCTAGCCAAAGAGCGGGATGGTGGCATTAAATCTGAGTTAATTTTATGCTTATCGTGACTACCTACAGAAGCAGACACCACCAGCATGAACATTGTCCATCACAAACTTCGGGTCAAGAGTTTAATCACTCTCAAGCATACCTTACGAGAGATCTGGACTTTTATCAAACCTTGATTCATCCTGAGTTTGTGCTTCTTTAGAGTTGAACCTTGGGCATCCTAGTTATCCCAGCCAAGTTCACAGAAACCAGACCCAGATCACTTATTCCCCTCCACTTCAAATCGAATAAGATAGACCCCTAGCCAAGACAAAACTTGCTCACCGTGGCGTGTTATCACCCCAGCTCACGTCTACTCGCAAAGACTTAAGGCTCTCGATGCCCACCTCTGTGTGTCCAGATTGTAGGATCACATCCCAACAACTATGGTTCAATCAAAACCAGTGGCTTTAGCAGCCCTCATAACACTATGTGCCACTGGCGTTCAATCCGATGGCACAGGCCTCATTGGCTGGGGAAAGACAATGTATAACCCAACCTGCTCTTTCGCCTGTCGACAAGTTATCCGAAAGCAACAACTCTCCTGTACTCCTACCGAGTCGACCGAGAATCATGGGACAGCACATAATCCCGTCACGACACCGCCCGATTGTTTTGTGGAAGACCAGGTCTTTCTTAAGACTATGGCTCTTTGTATAGACACATACTGTCCTCTCGCAGGAAATCCTTCTATGAGTCTGGTCCAAGACTATTGGGCATCGCATCTTGGAACAGGAACTATTGGAAAGTCTGACTATGTTCCGGTCATGTCGTATGAAGATGCTTTGAGTGCGGCCAGGGAAGACGAATCAATGGCTTCCCATAGCACAAATTCGACGTCTGGTCACAACAATGGTAGCCATCATAAGAAGAGGACTGGTATTTTCCCGCGCCATGGTGGCCACGATACCTCTTCTCACGAAGGCTTAGTAACTTTCAATGTGTCAAGTCCCTTGCCCGTCACCGCTGGCGGAACAGAGCCCCTCAACGAGACCAGCTTCATCGGCCCTGAGGACTGGCAACTCCAGTATAACTATCTCTTTGACTTTGAGGCCAACGAGGCTGGCCATACAACGATGACTCTCACCGTCACACTCGTGGCCATCTTCCTCCCAGCTATCATTTCTCTATTGAGATACATACCTGGTCTGACTAAGAGTCGAGGATGGTCTTACTGGCAATCATTTCTCATTGTCCCAGCGGTGTTTGGTAAGCGACACCGTGAGCCAACTGTTGCTGGTAATGTTCCCAACAGTGGGCAGGCACTCTACATCGCCTTAATCAGTACTCTCAACATCCTGCTCTGGCTCGGACCATATACAGTCCATCAACCTCAGGCTGGTTTTGCCTCCCTTAAGATGCAGACAATCAGCGTCGTGGGCAACCGGGCAGGTGACATGGCAATGGGCAACGTTGTGGCATTGTTCCTATTTTCAGCTCGCAACAATGTTCTTCTTTATTTCACGGACTGGAGCCATAGTACATATCTCCTGCTGCATAGATGGCTTGGATACTGGGCTATCTTCCATACAATCGTTCACTCTGCCATGCTTCTCGCAAACTATGTCATCCAAGGCACCTACGAAGAAGAGCTGGTACGCGAGTACTGGATTTGGGGTATTGTAGGAACAGTGGCAGTATGTGCGATATTGCCCTGCTCCCTGCTGCCAGTCAGGCAGAAGATGTACGAGTTCTTCCTTGGGTCGCACATAATCTTAGCCCTCCTCTTCCTTATTGGATACTACTACCATATCTGGTATCTTTATGAGTACAATTGGGGATACGAGATCTTTGCATTCGTGGCTGGAGGTATTTGGGGTCTCGAACATGTCGTTCGACTAGTTCGCATGGCTTGGCAAGGTAATCGAAAGGCTACCATTTCGACCATTTCAGATGTTGACGGAGAGTATATCCGAATCGAGATTGATGGAAAGCCTCTGGAGGGTGGTGTTGCGTATCTTGCTTTCCCTACACTTTCGTGGCGTTTCTGGGAGACTCACCCCTTTTCCGTCGCACATTCTGGCTCATTGACTAGTGAGAATAGCCACCAGCCATCGACAACTGGTGCCAAAGAGGAAAGCGTGGCAGTCTCACGTGGTTCTGAGACAGACGCCGAAAAGGGTGTTAATATCAACCAGAACACTTCAGTTGTTAGCGCGACTGAGGGGAGATCTACTGTATTCTATGCTCGGGTCCGAACGGGCACGACCAAGAAACTCGCATCACGGGTGTCTGGCCAGCAATCTGAAGCACTTCAACTTCGGGTGATCGTCGAAGGACCCTACCATCATTCTGGGGATATTTCACCTCAACTCTCGCACTGCAAAGACATTTTGTGTATTGCTGGAGGTATTGGCATCACAGCCTGTCTCCCATATCTTCGGCAAGGCGCTTCAGGCAATACCAAAATTTTCTGGTCGAGCCGCAAGAAAGGTCTTATCACAGCCCTAACATCAGCTCTTACTGATCTGCCAAGGAGTGTGAAGGTCGAAACGGTTGTGGGGGAGCGTTTGGATCTTAGGGGCATCTTGACCCAAGAATTGATTGGAGCGCCAGGTGATGGTGCGCTGGCGATTGTCATGTGTGGACCTCCTGGTATGGCTGATGAAGTGCGTAGAGACATTGTTGAGATTGTGAGGAGCAACGCCTTATGCCGCGCCTATGTGCTCTTAGATGAGGCCTATTCTTGGTAGTTTTGGTGGTGGTATGTCACTCAATTAAACAATCAAGATGACGATCTGCCCACTTGACGTAAATTCTACACTAGATGATCTTGAATTAGAAGTGTTCATCACTATAAGACTACGGAGTAGATGTCTTGTGTAATCAATCTTCATTTCATCAGGCCCAAGCTGGCGGGACTCAACTAGACTAGACTAGCCATTATGAGAAACGCGGACCGAGCGGATATATCTACTTGAACTCTATTCAGAGACGTTCTCGTTTCAAGATGAACTTCTAGATCAAGCTAGATTATTCTGTGTCGCATTGACCTATGTTTGACGTAAACGTCAATTTCGGCATCGATAGTTGGAAACTTTGAGTTGCACATAGTCTAGTATGAGTAGGTATGCTATGTAAAAGTTCCTCAGACCATCACCGTAAGCTATCGATGGTTGAATTTCCCATGTGGGATATTCTCGTAATCAGCATCGTATACTGACTACTCAACTGAAGCGGTCAGCATCTGCATGTCATTGGTTCTGTGGCCAGCAAGGTCACGTTGGAGATCACGAGTGCAGCGTTGACCCGAGCGAATAATTGACAAATACCAAGAGCTAGGTACTTGGTACTAAGCTAGGCCCAGAGGCACAGTTCTCACGTTTTACCCCTGGCAGCTGCATCCTTGACATCCGATGACTTGAAGCTTGGCCCTGTAGAGAAGGACAATACTACCTACGTAAGGTAGCCTGTAGGTAGGTACTAAGGTAAGGTAGGTGATGGTTTTGACATGCGGTGGCGTTAACTAGTAACAGCGCTCGCTCTGGAACCTCCTGTATGTGAGACCACCTGCCTAATGTGTATTTTTCTTTATCACAATTAGGTATTCGTGGCGTTGAATTAGTTGTAAAGCTTGGGCCCGAGTGCCCAAAACAAAAGACCACATGGCATCAAAGTATGTCTGTTCTGAAGTGTGAGTGCAAGAGTTCGTTCACTTGACATGACATGCAGATCGATTGATACATACCTATCTAGCTGAGGGAGCTGGTTAGAGTTCCCCGATACCTATAGTTAGACGTTGGATCTACAATTACCCGACCATACATACATAAAAAGCAAACAACAGAATTTTCCATTTTTCTGATGTGCATATAAGATCTGTGTTATATGCCAACAGCTGTCAGAACGACAACCAATGATCCAGAGACCCAAAGTAAAAAACGGACCGACCTCAACCAAACCTGTTGAGCCAGCTGCGAAACAAGTCAAGTTTCCAGCCCTGGCCCTGGCCCTGGCCCTGCTACTCGGCTGTGACATCCCAGCCTCTGATCGTTCAATGATAATCGACTCTTTGAGGTAAAAAGCCTCGGCTACTGTATGGATCCGCATCCGCTCCGCCCGGAAGCCAAACCTCGAATAGCCTAAGGCCCTAAAGCCCCCCCTCGGCCCCAGCGTTAGCCCCGGCAGCTTGGTCCAGAGCAGGCAATTGAATGTCAAAATCCGTGGGTTTCCCCCGAAGCCTCGACGCCATTTCCATTTCTTTAGTGCCTGTCTAGCCGTCTCTCACTGAAGCCCTCAGGCCCTTGCTCTGGAGATTTTTTTTCTTCTTCAAGCCGCTAAACTAGGGTCCCCTGGCTCTTGCATTCGACCACTGATGATGGCGTCTTCTAGCGTAACTAAGCCCTCCCATTCCCTTCTGTAAGCCATTAGCCATCACCAGGAACCCGCCGTCACGCGAGGCCCGTAGGCTCGCAAGCAAGGTACGGTATAATCCACTCTTGGGTCTTGGGCTTAACAACGAGGATCTCAAGGGTGTCAAGTTGCCCTTTACGGCTCCATGCGTGGAGGCGGGTCTACGCGGAGGCGAACGGCGAACCGTCCGTCCCTCTCTTCTATCGGCTCACTAGAGTAGAGTAGAGTAGAGTAGGTAGTTATAATCACGCTCCCTCTGCTTCTGTCACCCGCTGCCGCGGGCGTCTCTCTTCTCGATTCACGATACCAGTGACTGACTGACGGACTGACAATATGCGCAATCCACCGCCAGAGGTGATGGCCTCATGGCCCCCGCCAAATTTTGTCAACCCCGTTCATCGTGGGCCTACACTGCTCATTGTCGAGGTCACTATCATGTCTGTGGCCATCCTGACACTCATGGCCCGTTTGTACGTCCGTATATTCAAGGTCAACAAGCATGGGCTCGATGACTGGCTGATGCTGGCTGCCATGGTAAATATCCCTCCCAACTCAACCCAACCCCAACCTCGGCTGCATGTGCAACCGACGATGATCATCTCCAATGCTGACTTGTGGGACTTGCAGGTGTTTGGTATTGGTGTCACTGTCTGTGTCATTCTTGCAGCTCAGCTCTACGGCTGGAATATCCATGTCTGGGATCTCAAGAAGTCTCAGGCGGAAAATGGTCGAAAGGTTTCACTCGCGGCCCAGACACTCTTTCTGTTTTCCTCGGGCCTGGCAAAGAACTCCATCCTCGTGTCATATCTCCGTATTGCCCCGGCCAAATCTTGGCTTCGTCGTTTGACTTATGCCTCACTGATTCTTGTCACCTCACTCATCTTCATTTTCCTTATTGTTCTTTGGACACAATGCAACCCAACCTCTGCATACTGGAAGCTGGACGGAGGTGACAGCTGCCGTCCTGAAGGACCCAGTGTACTGTAAGTCACTATTTCGAGTTGTTCCTGATAATCACTAACGATATACCTTTTAGGAGCCAAGCCATTACCACTGTCATCACTGATCTCCTTGTCTGCGCCCTTCCTCTACAAACACTCTTCCACCTAAAACTACCTTTCTCCCAGCGAATGGCCCTCATTGTCGTCTTCTCTCTCGGCCTCATCGTTGTCTTCGCGGCCTCTATGCGCGCATACTATACCCATTATGTTACCGACGAAACCTACGATGTCACCTGGCAGGGCTTCCACCTTTGGATCTGGACAGCCGTAGAGGCCAACCTTGGAGTTATCTGCGGCAGCATACCAGCACTTCGACCCCTATTCCGAAACATGTTCCGATCCAAGAGCAGCAGCTACTACAACAAGACGAACTCTCACGCTTATCCACCCGGCACAGCTCCAGGAGTTGTCACAGTCGTCACCAGCCCCAAGAAGAACTCGCGAAACTGGACCGATAGTTTACAAAGAAGCTCCAAGGGGGTGAGGATACAAGACGACCATATCGATATTGAAGGAGGATACAACGATGCTAGACGACAGAAGAGCTCAGATAGCGGAGCGTCGTCACTCGAGATGGACACGTGGCCACCAAGACCACAGCCTAGATCTTGGCCTACAAATTGACGAGGTATGATAATTTGACATAGTTTGGCGTTCTTGAGACTTGCTGGGTGGGATTTGGATAAGCTTTGCGAAGCAGGAATGGGCATCATGGATGAAGGTCTACTACTTTACTAGACACCAAAAAAGGATTCAAACAGAACTTTGCTCAACTGAGCACGACATGATTAAAAACCTTTCGTGTTGACCATATATTGATTCCCCTCACAAAACTGAATGGCATCCTCTTATCCCGTCGAGTGCAGAGAAGACAGGTTTACCCGTAACGAAGAAAGGCAACTTGTTCTGGAATTTATTAGCCGCAAACTTCCATTCTCGAGCCAATTGACATTCCACGACCACGTGAATTTCCATTAGCTGAAAGTCAAATTACATGGGCAAAGCTTGATTGTATTAGACCTCAAGCCCGCAAATGCCAAGCCTTCGGAGATTTTGTCCTTGTAGCGATGTGATGGGGTTAGGTTAGTACCTAAGTAGGGACCTTGTGAAGACAGCCTAGGTAGGTCAGGTTAGTAGTTATTCCCGGCTATACCCTCTGCGCTGGCAACACGAGATCAAATAATTCAGTATGATAAATGGGTGAATAGATGCTTGGCATCATACGACATGTGAATCAAACAGTGACATCAAACCTAAAACTACTGACGTTTTGTACGTACATGATCTCATGTTGAGCTCCAACCCCGCCTACTCCATTCATCCCCACTCCGTCCGCCCCGTGCCGTCCGGCTTCAGCTCCGGATCCTACATATCTATTCTCGACCGAGTACGTATGACACAATGTGAATGAGCATTGAGTGTCAGTAGAGGAGCCAGAAAGGGCGTATATGTCCAATTATGACCTAAAATAATGCTGACATCATCTTGACAAAGGATTGATTATTGCATGCATTAAGAGGTTGGCTCCCAAGGAAGGGATGGACCCCACTCCTCCGCAGCCGATCCCGCATCCCGCTCCGATGCAGGTGAGCTGAACTGAGCTTCCTTCCTTCCTTCCTTGAGACCGCCGTATTTATGTAACATCGTCTCTCTAACGACTCTATCTCTCCTCACTTTCATCTTCTAACTCTCACATCAACACCTAAATAAGCACCATCGCCATGTCTCAGCCAGAACCCAAGCGTGTCAAAACTGATGACGATGCTCCCTATGAGCTCATCTACTGGCCAGTCATTCCCGGTCGCGGCGAATTCGTCCGTCTAGTGTTCGAAGAAGCTGGTGTCCCTTACTCAGACGTTGCGCAGAACATAGAGAAGGGCATGAACGCAGTCAAGAGTCTTACTTCTGCAGACAACATCGGCGATGAGCATAACCCACCTGCTCTAGCTCCCCCAGCCCTCAAGCACGGCGATCTTCTCATTTCTCAGACGCCCAATATTCTTCTGTATGTCGCTCCAAGGGTCGGCCTGGCGCCCAAAGAAGGAAACGGCGTGTATCATCTCAATGAAATTGTTTTGACGATCCTGGATGGTCTTGTAAATGAACTCCATGATACTCATCACCCTATCGCCATTGGTCTCTACTACGAGGACCAGAAGGAGGAGTCCAAGAAAAAGTCCGAGTATTTCATCAAGGAGCGCCTCCCCAAGTATTTCAAGTACATGCAGCGAGTGCTTGACGCCAAAACCAGCGGTGAGGGCCCATGGTTATATGGCGACAGCTTGACCTACGCAGACCTCGTACTTTTCCAGGTGAGTGACACTTCCACGATGACCAACAAGTTCTTCCCCGAGTCGCTAACAACCCTCCAGGCTGTCGATGGCACCAAGTTTGCCTTTCCCAAGTCTACCGAAGCATTGAATAAGTCTGGTGAATACGACGGCGTTTTCAAGTTGTATGATGCTGTCAAGGAGAGGCCAAACATCAGCAAATATCTTCAGAGTGACAGGCGCAGGAAGTACTCCGAGGGAATTTGGCGACACTACCCCGAGCTGGAAGAGTAATAATAGCCTAAGGTTCAAAGATTCACTCCCCAGACAGAAAATTTAGCCCGTGACATTCACGTCGAAGAAGTCCAAAATGGTAGCATGCTTTTATTGCCTAAAGAAACTCCAGAATGCTACTATAATACCCAAGTTACCATTCCTTTTTCCCAGCCCAAAAGTGTATTGTAAGACCTCCCGGTTTATAATGTGTTCATAAATCATGATCGATGCCCATAATATCCTGTATCAATGCTGTCATGCCTGACTTGGATATTATCTTTCCTCCGCTGGGACATCGAGGGATCAACGCCCAGCGTATGATCATCCCACTCTACAGCAGGCCTCTTCTCACCCGTTCGCGTCGTCAGCTTTCCATACAAATATGTCCCTCCCAATTCTCGAATACGCTGCTTGCGTTCCTCCCCGTCCATGTCCGCCATACCACTGAAGTGATCTACCATATTGCTCTCGCTCACGTAGTACATAGCTCCAGCAATGGAGCGAGGATCTACTGGCATATCAGGCCAACGGACAATGAAGCTGAGGAGTATGGTGATTGCCATCAGAGCCAGAATGCCAACAGAAAGTCGTGCGCAGATATCGTGGGAGACTCGTACTTGTGATAGCGAGTAAGGGATGTTAGCAAGAAGAATTGGCATAAACTCGGAGAAGATGGCCATTAGAGCGACCAGACCGGGAAATATTTGTCCATGCTTGATCGCAGACCAGAAACCAGAGAAAGGATTCGTAGGTCTCGTGAGCAAAACTGAGTTGGATGCTGACTGGGGACCATGCGACATGACCTGATATGGCACAACCATAGCGATAGCTGTTTCGAGTCAGCTTCAACCGAATTAGGATGCTTCAAAGAGAACTTACTGATAAAGAAGGCGGTCCAGCTAAAGGAGATAATAACTCCAAAGGCGGCAAACAAGAATCGAACACCAAAAGTCTGGCTGTTCATGAAGTTCTTGAAGGAAGATGACTTGTCGAGTGTAAGATGGTAGTATAGCAGAAACACCATTAACCCAACCAGGAACAGCAGAAATACTAAACGCCAGGCGAGACCGAGCATGAGAAATGGGTTCCTTCGCCCCTTTGCGACTGCCTGCGTGTCCACAGAACTCGACTCTGAGAGCGGATGATTATGCTGAAGGTTCTCCCTGGCATCGTCGTAGAGAACAATGCCATACTCAGTCCGGCCTGCACGGTTCTCGAAGAATCCAAACCCGTATCGCTTCTCTGCCATCTCTTTTTCGATTCTTCGCTCAGAGTCTTGCTGCGGTCTGATATCTCTGTTTGAAGCCAGCGATGCAACTCCTGCAACACTCCAGGGGTTTGCATACACCCCAGTGTGGAAATTTCGAAGGAAGAAGAGCAGACCGCAGAGCAGTAAGACCATCAGACCTAAAACTGCAAGGAGGATGCGTGACGATAGTGGTGAGACACCCAGGGCCGGAGCACAACCCTCATAAGCGTTGATTTTGCACTGGCCGTGCATCTTGAAACCGACTGCTTCGACTGCTAGAGGCGTCAGAAGCGCTGAGAACGAGACGATCAGCATCGTGATGAAAGGTACTGGGTGACCATCGACAAGACCATTGAAAGGCTCTACAATTCCTGCCCAGCCACCAAAGTGAAGGTTCATCGACTCTGGTCCCATAGCACCGTCGACCCGGTTCAAAGCGTGGAAGGGCTGAAAGAGTTGGGCGTTGTAGTCGATGACTCGTGCAGGTATTGACAGCATAACTGCAAGGATGGGAGGAAGAAATTTGCCCAGGAAGTACTTTCCAGCATCGAGCTCATACACTGTTACCACGGTCTTGACCACTCCCCCGGTTGCTCCAGCTTCTGATGCATCATCGGTGCCCGTGGGGGCAATTGTGGTGGTCTTTTCGTAGGTTTTTGTTTTCCCTTTGATTGTCGATATTATCGTCGAAGAAGCTGTTCGTGCAGATGTTATCGTCTTGAGTTTGTCGGTTGACTTGGTAGATATGATTGTCGTAGGTACAGCAGACTTGGTAATTGTTGCTAGCGATGCGGCCTTGGTTGAGATTACTTGGTTAGTCGTGAGCAGTCCGTCAACTCCAGTCTCAACGATGTCAACTGTGGTCTCAAAAGCGTCGATCTCGCTGACAAATGTTTCGCCTTCCTGAGAAACAACTACCCCGACCGTCTCGATATCCTTGACCTTGGTGACATAGGTTGTCGGGTCCAGCTTCTCGACTTTCTTCACGGTGTGGTCGTCTTCGACAGTCACGACATTAATAACAGTGGGCTTCGCCTTTTCTGTCAGCTTAGGCTTGCCAATAGGCTTCTGGTCTGTGTAGACAGAAGTGATAGTGATTTTGCCATATGAGACATAGGTGCTCGCTGATGCCGTCGTTTCTCCAACGCTTTCGTATTGAGTAGGAGCCGCCTCGGTGATGACATGCGACAGAGTCTTTGTTTCGCCATCTTCTACGATAGTGGTGTAGATAGTCTCGGTCCTATCTCCCTCCAGAGTAGACGTGTATGTGGTCACCGCACCGGGAAGAGAGTAAGCCTGGGTAATCGTTATAGCCTCTGTGTAACTGATAGTGCCAGGCGCAGCGGAGTCGGAGTCGGAGCCAGAGGGATAGACGACCGAGTAGCCCACACTGATACTTGTGAAAACGGATTTTGTTGCCTCTCCCGGCCTGGTAGTGACGACCTCGGTGACGACCTTTGTTGGGATCACGGTATAGTCTACGCTCGTCATGGTAGAACCATCCTTTACCGTTGTTGTAAGGTCCCAGTGCGTACTGTATTCTGTGGTCTCAATCGTGGTGGTGTATTTACCTGTCGTGCCTGGTACAGTAACAACAGTAGACACGTCGCTCACGATGTAAGTTGTCGCGAGTATTGTTTGTCTTGCAACTTCAGGAGTCATTACCGCATCGTCCCGTGGGAAATTCGGGTTGACATTGTTGCTTCTCTTGTGGATGATCTTTGCTGTCCCATCTGAGTTGGGCATTTTTATCAGTGCCCAGATGACTAGTCCCATGACAGCCAGGAGAAAGGCGACCTGGCCGATGATAAAGTACCATCTTAAAGCTGTAGGGCGATAAAAGGTCCTTTTCTTGCCGGAGGGGAATTTCTCTGAACTGGTGTCCCAAGATACATCGTCTGTGACTTGGGGCTCGTAGCGCACGTTGACGCCAGCCTGGTGAGAGTACATGGCGATGGTGACTCTGGAACCCTACTTTGGGACAAAGTAAGGAGTGAATAGACTATTGTCGAGACATGGAGGAAATAAGTCACTATTTACTGCGAAAATCAATCGAGAATGGAGGGAAAGAATAGAACAGAACAGACAATAACTATAGGCTCCCACTTATTACCAAGGGCAGCCCAGCCTCAAGATATTATATGCATATCTAAAAACAGACCAACAACACCTAAGTTAGCACAGCCCAGTAGGACTCAAGGACCCCCAATGGTAATCGTTTACCGCTGCGAATATAAAACAGAGTGGCGCCCACCCAGGTATAGGGCTGAATCCCGTAGCAGGGGTTGATCCTCTCTGGCCTTTGCCATTGGGCCTAGCATGAGACAAAGCTGCGAAGCTAAGGATCGAGAACAAGGATGCGGCTGAGGTGAGCAGAGGGTGCCAAGCCAAGAATATCCACCAACTGCCGGACGGACGCTCCTCAATTGGGAGCCTGGGAGCCTCCTTTCATTGTCGTGACCATTGAGAGCAACTTCAATGTCGCGAATAAGACCATCAAGGAACTTGTTGTCCTCAGCGAGGCTGCAAGAGTTGCCTCATCATCCCCACACCAAATGGCCGGCTGCATCTTTAGGCAGGTCTCTATACTGTGCACAACAATTTGCTATACCCATCGCTCCATCGTAATCCGCCCATGATAGCGATCATCAATACTAGAGCCGTCACAACACTGGCCGTGCCATAAATCCATGCACTTCGCCGCCTCAGAGTGCTAAGTTCAGCAACCCACGTCGAAATGGTCGTCAAACATCCACAGAAACCATCTTCCATGCCCTCCAGCACCTGGCAACCGATGACTCCGCCAACCGGCACGTGTGCGAGATCCCATGACATGCCCAAGATCACAGTACCAAATACATTAGCAGTAAATGTTCCCAGAGGAAATGTTTTCATCTTTCCGTTGAGGTAGAGCGACAGGTAGAAGCGTAGTAAACAGCCCAATGGCCCAAAGATCAGCGCGAAGAGGGCTTGACCACGCCAGGCATTATGTGGTGGGAATATGGCGAGAAGTACTGCACCAAGCCAGCAGCCCAAGCCCAGAAACACACCCAAAGGATCAAGTACCCGTCGGCTCAACGAGAAGGGAATTGATGGCGTGACGCGCTCAAGGCCAATAGCCAGGTGGGCACCTAGGAACAAGCCAGAAAGTGACAACGATACAGTGGTGATGATGACAGCTAGCATCGCCATGAAGGAATAGCCCCCATTGCGACTCGTCGGCGACTCTGACCACCCAGGCGTCTTCAGTTCATTAGACAAGGCCAAGAATACGTCCTTGATGAAACTCGAAAAAGTCGTGAAGCTCCCACAGAAGCCCGTTGCCATTCCGATGTACAGAGGAATCGTCTTCTTAGTCGCAAGATGCGCTCGCTTTGCCGCGTCCAAGTCTGCCCCCACCTGCTGACTTGAGCCAGATCCATTTGCTTCATCGTTTTGCTTTTTCTTGGCCCGCTTGATAGCTTCGTCGTAGGTCGGAGTTCCCCACTCGTTGCGGAACAGCTTGCGATCCTCGGCAAGAAATCCCATAACAAGACTTCCACTAAAATTGGCCCATATCGTGTTGAAGATAACGGGAGTGCCGCTGTAGCGCGTCAACGCAGTTAGGCCCAGACGCGCTAGTACTCCAAGTATCGCGAATAGCACGAGATACGAATGCGTGTAAAGGCTTGTGAGCAATTCTGACGTTTTCTTCTGTGCTGCGTCTTGCGGTATAGGCTCTGGTTCGACGGGGGTATCAGACCGGACAAAGTTGGCGTGTCCTCGCGGTTGGCCTTGGGTAGGACATGGCGAGAGCTCTTGTAGCGGAGGAACAGGTTCTGTCTCGTCGAGGTTGCTATAATCTTGTGGAACGTCGTATGTACCGGAATCGATTCGCTCTGCCCGCGTTGCCAATTGAGCTGTTGTTTTGGTTGTTTCGCCAGGGGTCTCCCTTTGAATCGGTTGCTCAGTTATGTCGCCCAACTCAGCATAGTCGTCTGGCGCATTGTGCGTCCCAGAACTCGATTGTTGCTTTTGAGCGGCCGAATCGTCAGCCATGGTTTGATCGTTGCGTTTTCGTCGAGGAGCCAGTCACTTCAAGTCAGAGATTGCAACATGCTAGACTATGGCGACGCAGTTTGTGGTAACGAGTCATTTTATTTGGACGGAACAAGTTCTTGCTGCTGTTAAATTACGATGTCTAAGGTTTATTAATGATATAGTTTGTGGCTAGATTCGTCGGATATGACGGCATTAAAGGAAAGAAACATCCCGAGCTCGCTCTGCCACAAAGAGATAGAGATAGTTAGGTGACTGGCGTTTTGATTTCCATATTGTGGAGGCGTTTTGCTGTGGAGTCACTTGAGTTGAGTCGAGAGGAGGAGAGCAGAGAGCAAGGGTTGGCTAGGTTGGATATATAGGTAAGAAAAGAGATAACAAGAGCAAGACACGGGCGATAACTAGAGGAAACAGCACGATAGATAGATAGTTTGCATCTTGGCCAATAGCATCCAATTGATGCCCGAGCAAGTATTTGTTAACAACAAGCATGAATATCTAAAAATGTTGAGTCCTCACCGCGTTTCAATGTAGCTCCTAACTATCGCTGACAGCGGTGAGCTCCGTCTTATCTTATCGCACCCCGCCGCCATCCTCCGAGCATTCCCCTGTAGCTTAAGCTCTAACCCCGCCGACATACGCTACCGCCCGCCTCGACTATCATTGATTGTCCTTGTGATCTCTCTTGGAACGACGATTGGACTGGGTATCCAATCTCACGTAGTACCAACAAACTGATAAACAGGTACGGATACTGTACCAACTGTACAGCTAAGCACAGTTACAGGTACTGACAGGTACGGTACAGTCAGTCAGTGCTTAACGTACGTGTCTCCAAGCAAAATACCTTACCTTACCTTACCTTACTTACCTGACACTGCTTGCTCACATACAAAACCCCCCTCCCTCTCCTGTTTCTTTCTGTTTCTTTCTCTCTTCTCCTTCTTCTTCTCTCCTTGGCTTCGTCCCAGCATCTCATCTCGTCTTGTGATGCTTCATCGTCTCCTCGTAGATTCTTTACTTTTGTGAAATAATACGTGCATTCGTACTTGACTCATAATGTCTTCGTTGCCTTCAAACGTCCATGTCTCTCAGCACCCGTGTCTACGGGCAAAGCTGAGCCAGCTTCGCTCAAAGACAAACGGTCCTAGAGACGTCAAATCACTGATTCATGAGATCTCTCTGATTGTCTCTTGTGAAGCTCTCGCCTCGTCTTTGGAAGCCACAGAAGGGACTCAGGTATGAAGCATAATAGAATTGGTGCTTTCGAAGCCTCACTAACCATGATCAGGATGAGACGCCTTTGGGCTTCCAGTTCACTTCCACAACAGTGCAGCCAAGTACCATGTGCCTGGTTCCCATTCTGCGATCAGGTCTTGGAATGGTAGACGGTTAGTTCAGTCGCTGCTTCACTCATACTGTCTAAACTGACCTCTCCAGCCGTGCAAACCATGCTCCCTATCCCAATTCCTGTTCATCATCTGGGCATGTACCGTGAGCCTTCAACTCTCGACCCAGTCGAGTACTACAACAATCTTCCCCAGCAAGTCCCGGGTGACTCCTCCAGTGGCAATGCTAGTAGTCTTGCTATCGTGGTCGATCCTGTTATTGCAACCGGTGGAACCTGCGCCGCCGCCATCCAGACCCTTCGTGAATGGGGCGCAAAGAGAATCATTGTTCTTGCCGTTATTGGAGCTGACGAGGGTGTTCAGAGAGTCGCTGCCGAGTGGCCCGAGGGATGCGAGGTTTGGATTGCTGCAGTGGACAAAGAGTTGACCAAGGATGGTATGCTGAAGCCTGGTCTGGGAGATGTTGGTGATAGGCTGTTCTTAACTATCGGCAAATGAGTGCACTTTACGGGCTTTGGGCGTTGTATTCTCATCGCATTAACACATAGTTTAGATAGTATACATCATAAGAACCCCATATTCCTCAAGCAATCATAAACTGCTCCTCGTCAACTAATGTGCTCTCGTTCCAGCACTCGTCAATCCATTTCCCTGTCACTAATCTTGGTTGCACGCGCCTTGAACTCAGTTCTTTTCGTGCCATATCAGCGGCCTCTCCCACTTGCATCGGGTCGTCGCCCTCGATCACCACATGTGTCACAGACAGATCATTGGTGTCATCTGTAACATTCCCCCCGCCGTACTTGACAAGGTGCTTTAGCCTCGAAATCTTGTTGTCGCCAGCTTCCACGGCATGAAACAGCACTACGCAACGTCGGAAGGTAAAGCTCCTCAATCGTCCCAAGTCTTTCCCATGTTCCTCAAGCTGTTGGAGAAATTCATCCTTGTCAAAGTGCGTGCCGTCCTCAATCTTAGGGATGTCGCGCATTAGCTCTCTGAGTTCTTCGATGGAAAGATCCCGCGCGTAGCTGTCCCCAAACTGATCTGTGTTATCTTCTGCCGCTCGCTGTAATTCATCAGTAGCGTGAAACAGATGCGAAGGTTCAAATGGCAAAAGAAACGCCCCCAATTCCTGCTCGAGACAGTCTCTTATCCATTTGGGGCGAATAATGTCAACGGCCCCTCCTTTAATGAGGCTCGCCACCTTCACCACCTTCTTGTCGGCTATCAGGACCATGTTTGTCCCTGGCAAGGCTCGTTGTACGACTGTGCCGCCATTCTCCTTGATGATGGCTTCAAGCTGGGTCTTGGTCTTTTTATAAGGCCGGAGCGCTTCTGAAAGCACGCAAAAGTCCAGTCCCTTGAAAAGGTTTGTCGTTACTCCCTTGAACTCGGGTACAATCGCGTCTTCTCCAGCAATGATCAGCTCTCTCTTCACTCGCTTGGGATTGCGCCGCTTCCTGTCCTCAACCGTCATCGCCTTCTCCTTTGACTCTTCATCAACTCGCTCCTTCAACTCCTGGAACTCTTCAAGGGAGAGGGCTGTATCCCAAGTTCGGTCCA